CCCCCCCCCCCCCCCCCCAAAAAAAAAAAAACAAATCCACCATTTCAAACAAATTAAGAAAAATATGAAGATGAGTAACTAAAAACTTACATGCCGATCTGAGTCTTGACGGGCTGACTGGTGAGGGCGTGATGCGACTGACGAGTGACGCCGGCCTGAATCTTGATGGGATGACTGGTGACTGGTGAGGTCGTGAGCCGTGAGGTGGAAAAATGGTAAGGGCATGACCCGTGGTGAGGCGGAGAACCGGTGTGGTTGGTCCGTAGGGGTGCGACGAAAAAATTGAGAAACTGAAAAAGAGAAACTGACTTACTGAGAATTGAGAAAGAATAGGAAAAACCAGATATGAAACTCTAGTATAGCATGTATATACTTAAGGGTAAACTAGTAAATTAGTTAATTCTTATTGGGTTATCGATTTTAACCCAATAACAGAATTGCAAATCGAGCCCGAACCGATAACCCAGTAAATTTATTTTTAACCCGTTACTGAACCGTTAACCCAATAATCCAATACCGATAGCCCAATAAATAATTAACGGTTCGGGTTATCGGTTTTACCCGATATATGCCCACCCCTACTTCTGGGTCCACAAAACTGTGAAACAAAAAATTTGTCTCATACAACTAGTGTCAGTTGTATGAGACACAAAATAAAATTTTCTGTGTATAGAAGGTGGTGCAGTGTACACGAGTTTATTAAGGGTGACAACATACAAAAAAAAATAGTTCGGTATAAAAAGTATTTCGCGTTTACATAGAGTCCGGATAAAAGTTGTACCCTAAGGAGTCATAACACGTAGTAATTGGCTAAAACAATAAGTTTATTCTATTTTTTTATTTTTATTTTCTTGTTCTTTGCATCTAAAATTCGGAACTTTTCTTTTAATTTTCTTGTTCTTTGAAAAAATAGCCTTTAAATGGCCACGTTAAAACTTCACACGATTTTTATCATATTCATCAAAAGTAGATTTGTTGAACACTCTTTAAATGATGATATAAAATTTAATATCACTTTAATATTTTACTTGGTTAGCAAATTTGGTATAAGTTATTTCGGGATTAAAATTAGTATCGGAATAACTTGTATCTTCTAGAAAATGAGGTAATTAGTGTCGGGATAACTTATACATTCTTCTTAGAAATTATGCAATTATCATTTTTAATACGACATACCAAATAATGAATAAAAAACAATACCATAATATCTAATTCTCGCATAACTAATCTCATCATAACTTATCCCGACATAAGCCGTATTCAAACCAAACGACCGCTTAATGGTAAGTTTCTTGTAAGTTTTAACGAACGACCCCAAATTTTGGCGATTCGAAAAAACTCGTGAGCAAATGACATATTTGTCTAAACTTAAAAATTGGGGTTATTTTATACAAATTTCTTAAATATGGACAAAACTTAAACAAAGTTGCACCAAAAGGACATTTGATGAAACTTTATATCAAGTTCTTGCCAATCCTCCTCAAGTGTTACTATTGCAAAAACAAATAAAAATACAAATTAAAAGTAATTTGGAATTTTCTCAAATTTGGTTTGGTTTTTCGGTTTCTTGTAAGAAAGGGCGAATATAGGGCTTTAGTATCAGGTTAATCTGAATATACTATTTTCAATGCGGAACATAAATTTATGCATAAAAATTTACTAAAATTGTAACCCATAATACGTATGAACCTATAATTTTAAAACTACAATGGATTCATAATAATACTCTATATATTCTATAAGGAAATAAAATATCCTTTTTTTTGTAGAACAATCTTAATTGTACAAGAAGCATGTAAGGATTTACCTAATTAAAATATTTGTAATGACCCGGCCTGTCGTTCTGAGAGTTATAGCCCTATTTCCCCAATCTATGCTTCCTTATGTATGGTTCAGCTGTGTTGAGTTGTATCGAGTTGGTAGGTTTGAGTTCTGAGTAGTTTTGAAATGAAATGAACATTTAGTCTCTTAGTTAGAAAACTAAGTTAGAAAAGTCAACCGGAAGTTGACTTATGAGTAATCGAATTCGAATTTGAATTTTTATGATTCGATTAGCTTCACTTGGTGATTTTAGACTTAGGAGTGTGTCCGAAATATAATTTCGAGGTCAATGGTAGAATTAGGCTTGAATTGCCGAAAGTTGGAAGTTTAGAAGTTCTTAGGCTTGAATTCGAGGTTGATTTGATATTTTTTTGGGTCTTCCGGAGGTTCGACTAAGTTCGGGTAGTGATATATAACTTATTGGAATTATTGGTTGAGGTCCCGAGGACATTGGGTGAGTTTTGGATAGATTTGGATTGTATTGCGCTCGTTTTTCTTATGTTTCGACGCCGTTTCTTCAAGCATAAATGATATCATATTTAACAAATGAGCTCCGATTTCTTTTTTGATTGAAGCATTAGATACGTAACATAATTACGGACCCATAGCAAAAAGAATCATCGAATTTGGATATCGTATGAGGATTTTATGGTCATTTTATTAAGAATTAATGTAACGATCCGACTGTAGACATGTGATTTTTGACCCTCCCCGAAATTTCACTCATTTTAGCGTACAATATTTAATTTAGGCTCAATATAGTTATTTCAACTAATTTTGACTCTTTTACATTATTTTAAGAACAAAAATTGAAAATTACAAAAAAATAGTTCAATATTTCTCTACTTAATTCGCGTATTAGATATTTTTAGGAGGATATATTGCTTTAAGCTTATTTTAATATAATCCTTGAAAATGTCAAAAATAGTTTCAACTTTTATTTTAATATTAATAATTTACTAAAATAAATTAAGAGTTAGTTTAAATCTTCTTATAAGTATTTTTAGAAGTAGATTAGATTTTTAGTATTTCCTTAGCCTAATTTTGTAAGATTTTTGAGTCCAAATGAAATTGTTGCAAGAGGCCCAAGTTACACCACCCCAATCTCTAACCCATGAGCCCAAAATTCCATAGCCCAAGCCCACAACCCATCAGATTTTGAACCTAAAAACCCTAGCCATCACTCTTCTTCTTCACACAAGAAACCCTAGAACAAAAAGAGACAACAATGGAGACAAAAACACCCTAGCCGTCACCTTCTTCATCTAAGATAGTAGCCGCCGCCGCCTCTGCCCCTTCCTCACGTCACTCACACACACACAGCCCCATCGTCGCTGTCAGTTGCAAAAACTAAACGGACCTGCAACTTCAGTCCAAAACAACCATGGCTACCTGCTTCTCCTTCTTGAACTAGA